CCTTTGCCGCGCGCCCGGGAGGCGCGGCACCCGCCGCCCCTGTGCCTCGTCCTTTCCCAGCCTCCCGGGGGCGGCGGCGGGGCGGCCGGCTGGCCCGCGTCGGGAGGCCGGGACGCCGCGGCGGGCCAAGGGGGTGGCGGCCGCTGGACGGGCTTCGGGTTGAATGAGCATCCGCAGTCCCGGCCGGCCGAACGGGGTCCCCTCCCTCCCCAGGGGGCGTGGAGCGGTCGGCCCTTCCAGGGCTGACCTCGCTGCCCTCCGCCGCCTGAGCATGGCGGGCCGGCCAAGCCTCGCCTCCCCGCCAGCCTCCCGGGGATCCGGAGCTCGCGGGGAGCGGCATCGCGCCGCCCGCCTCTCCCTCGGGCCTCGAGTCCCCGGCTCATCTCTTTTTCTGTGTCGTGTGCCTGCGAAATCCCTGTCAGTGAAGGGCGGTCAATGCCATTTGGCCCTAAGTCGTCCTGCCTCGGCTGACTGATGGTATTTAACAGAAAGCGGCTCTCCTTTCGGTGGTAGCGCGTCCCCGGTGTCTGCCGCCTCTCCTTCCCTTCTTTACGCACAGACGCGGTTTTATGGTGTGGACCCGAGGCACAATTGCGGTCTCTTCTTGCTTGAACGAGGAAATGTAATCAGAATTCCCAGGAAGAGGAAAGCAGCGAGGAATGGCTTGCACCTTCCTTTACTTCTGTTTGCCTTTGGATTAGAAAACAACTTCGCAGATAACATTTCCTATGGGCATCTTTTGTTGTGATTCATACCAAAGAAGGCTTTGCTTTTGAAGAAATACATTAGCGTCTTTTTCTGTTGGGTGGGAGGCTACGGAGATTTTTGATAGCCTCTTAATATGAAAGTTTCCTTTAGAACTTTGTCATCATCCGTGATATTCTGAAGGCAGCACCAGCCTGGAATTTTAAATATATGCGCACTCCGGCAGATGCGTTTCTTTGTGCTTATCTCCTGGCATCCTACTCTTGTTGTGTCCGTGGTCAAACGTGCAAGTAATAAAAGCAAGTACAATAAAAAGAATAGATAATAAAAACACTGTACGAACAAATGCGTCTGGAAAATCTCAATTCCGTTAACGGAGAGGCAGTGTTACTAATCCTTTTGAATGGATGAAGAACGGGCTCAGAGATCTCATGGATTATGTAGTGGACAGGATCTGAGGTTAGGAACTGGGGCCAGGACCCAGCAGGCCAGCTGGTTTGTGAAGTGCTACTCTTAACCTCTAAAATGGGAGGAATGTATTTGTCCTGGATACCGTTATTTTTAGATTACTTAAGGTGCAGAGGCGTAATCACCCCCCAACCCCTTTAAGGTTAGGATTTCTACCTGTCTATCTCGGAGACCAAAATGCTGTTTTTGTTTAAACATTTTTTTTTTCTAGTTTACCTGAAATATTTATGTTGCACTGATAGGTGTTTGCTTATAACCAAAAATGTACGTATTTGTAACGTTGAAGAGAATTCTTTCTGTAGGAGGTTGGTAAAGAACCCAGGAATTTTCAAGTAATCTAAATTGGAAATGAGGCACACTAATCTAGTGATTGCATTAAAACTATTTAAAACTACTTTAAGTAGCTCCAGTAAGGAGCATTTCTGATAGAACTTTTTTAGAAAGGTATTTCTTTATCTAAGAATGTATCTGTTGAAATTGCTGAGACACGGGGCACCGTCACAAAACTCTATTATTATTATTCTGCCTGAGTAAGAGAGGAAATGAACAAATTTTTGATGTACTTTGGAACCCTGTGGATTGTTCAGATACTAAGCATTGTGAAATAGGGCATAAAATGAGTGGTGGCAAGTTAGTTTCCTGAAATGTTTGTCCCTCTTAGCATTTTTTTCTTTTTGCACTTGACTAGAAATTTCTTTTTTTCTAATTCTTGATTCTATTGGTAGAATTCAAGTTCTTCTTTTCACCACATGCCTAGATTGAGGCAAATTCAAATCTGCCATCAGACGTTGAGGAGATGTTGGGAAATTCCTCCATTCTTCTCATCTTTTTAATTTGCTAGATTTGTGAATTATACAGAATTAGTTACACGAGGGTTGGGTTTATGTTAGTTCAAATCCCACTGCCATTACAGCTATTCTCTTCTGAATGGCTCCACTTACTACTAGTGGGTTTCTCAGAGTCCGGATCTCAGATCGCATAGATCAGCATTAAGTGAGGTTCTTGTTAAAAATGCAGGTTTTTCTGTTATCTCACCTCAGAATCAGACTCCTGGAGTGAAGCCCTGGAATCAGTTTTTTGAACAAGTTCTCCAGGAATTTCTCCCGCAATAGTAAAGTTGGAGAACAGCTGGCATTATGTTTCCATCTTGATGAGCACCTCCTAAGGCCATGTCCTGAAGTGGATAGCAAATTTTTTTAAGTAACAGCATAAGGTTGTTTTTTTTTTTTTTAATGTTTATTTAGTTTGAGAGAGAGAACGCGTGAAAGGGAGCATGTGGAGGAGGGACAGAGAGAAAGAGAAAGAGAATCCCAAACAAGCTCCGTGCTGTCAGTGCAGTGCTGCATTCGGGGGCTTGAGATAATGACTCGAGCTGAAATCAAGAGTCTGACTTAACCTGCTGAGCCACCCAGCAACCCCTAAAAGAGGAAGTTTTATATCTTTGGCTGCAAATAAAAAACGGACTATGACCTTCAGATACGTAATGCACCTGTGTATAATATACCTTTCAGAAGAGCAGAGGCTTGGTCATCATTGTTATCTCCATTAGAATAGTGCCTGGAAGGGGCGCCTGGGTCATTTAAACGGTCAGTTAAACGTTGGACTTTGGCTCAGGTCATGGACTCACGGTTCATGAGTTCAAGGGCTCTGTGCTTACAGTTCGGAGCTTAGAGCCTGTTTCAGATTCTGTGTCTCCCTCTCTCTCTCCGTCCCTCCCCCACTAGTGTGTGCGCTCTCTTTCCCTAGGAAACAAATAAACATTAAAAAATAAAATCTTTCTTTGTAAAATTGGTCTTATTACTTAGTGGTCAGTGGTCACTGACCATTTTATAAATTAGGAGCCTCATTTACTATGCCCAGTCATTTCTGTAAGTTTGGTTGGCACTGGAAGTAGAGAACCTTTCCCAAGCAGAGAACGCTCCAGGTGGTTAAGCTGGAAAGAAGGCTCCTATCAAAATATCTGCTTAGAGACTCAAAATGTAAATTTAAGTCACAATGTGGTGGTAAATTACTATGTTATCAGTATCTCACAATACCATTTGACACGCTATCAGCCCAACATAATGCTGTGAAAACTGGTTTACAAAAAATACAGAAAATTGGTATGTTTTCCAATTTCATTTTCATCCTAATAAGATATGACCTTCACTCCTTTCTTTCAGAATCCATTGTAGGACCCCATAAATAACAGCTTCTATAATGTAGTTGAGGGTGCTGAATAGGAGTAAAATTTCTTTTTAAATTCTTTTTAATTAAAAAAAATTTTTTTTA